ACCTGTAGCAAATAGTGAGTGCTAAAGCTACAGTAGCATATACAAGGAGATGGTAACATCTGATCATTCACATTTACTCTGAGGTGGGAGAAGTACTCAGATCTTGTACTTGAGTAAAAGTAGAAGTACTCAGATCTTGTACTTGAGTAAAAGGAGAAGTACTCGGATCTTGTACTTGAGTAAAAGTAGAAGTACTCAGATCTTGTACTTGAGTAAAAGTAGAAGTACTCAGGTCTTGTACTTGAGTAAAAGTAGAAGTACTCAGGTCTTGTACTTGAGTAAAAGTAGAAGTACTCAGGTCTTGTACTTGAGTAAAAGGAGAAGTACTCAGATCTTGAGTAAAAGTAGAAGTACTCAGATCTTGTACTTAGTAAAAGTAGAAGTACCAGAGTGTAGGAATACTCTGTTACAGTAAAAGTCCTGAATTCAAAATGTTCCTCAAGTAAAAGTAGAAAAGTATTATCATCAAAATATAGTGAAAGTAGCGACAGTAAAAGTAGTCATTGTGCAGATTGGTCCATTTCAGAATAATATATATGATATGTTTTATAATGATTGATCATGAAAGTGTTCTCAAAGCTGGTAAAGGTGCAGCTAGTTTGAATGACTTTGTATACTGCAGGGTAGCTTGTGAATTTACTCCAGGTGGAACTAAAGTCTGATTTAACACTTGATTATATTTCACATCATTCATCCAGATCTGTGAAGTAACTAAAGGTATTCAATACATGTAGTGGAGTAAAAGTACACCATTTACCTCTGAACTGTAGTGGAGTAGAAGTACAAGGTGACATAAAATGGAGTACCTCAAAATTGTACTTAAGTACAAGTACCTGAGTAAATGTACTTCCTACCTCTGAATTTACTGATATAATGTGATCATTTAATTTTCATTATTTTCAAATTCACGGTGTAGATATTTGAATAGCTAGTGATACCTGGATACTATAACTAATTTATAAAACAATGAAACGAGTTTGTGTGCTTCAACCCTTTTAGTGTCTGTGAGAGCCAACCCCTTTGTATTTATTTAAAAAACAAATCAGTCCGACTCAATCAACCAATCAGTGCGTCTTTGTTATTTTGTTGTATCAAGTTAATAGGTATTTATACTTCTTCCTTTATTCAGTGGTATTTTAGGCTACGACGAGTCAGAATGCATTCTCGAGTTTCATTAAAAACCTTACTTTACTTCTGTCACGTCCATTTTTAACTTGCATCAAGACATTCATATGTGTCCTCTAATACACTTGTGTCACTTTCTCTGTTGATTTATTGTTTTGTTTTATAGGAAGAGACCTGCAAAGACCCAGATAGACTTTATGATGATGGGGAGAAGAGTATCATCTGAGAACAGCTGGATCAACATCAGTCTACAGCCACGATAGGAAAACCATACACCTGTGACCAGTGTGAGAAGAGTTTCTGGAGTTCAGGGACTTTGAAGCGCCACAAACGTACCCACACTAGAGAAAAACCTTTCACCTGTGACCAGTGTGAGAAGAGCTTTAGCCAGTCAGGCGATTTGACGACTCACAAGCGAACCCACACTGGAGAAAAACCCTACTCCTGTGACCAGTGTGAGAAGAGCTTTAGCCAATCAAGCCATTTGACGACTCACAAGCGAACCCACACTGGAGAAAAACCCTACTCCTGTGACCAGTGTGAGAAAAGTTTCACGGCCTCACGCTCATTGAAGCGCCACCAGCGAACCCACTCCTTTGACCAGTGGGAGAAAGAGTTCAGTGACTCATACAGTGTGAAGCTCCACCAGCCTACCCACACTGGAGAAAAACCTGACGTCTGTGCTCACTCTGAGAAGAGTTTCAGAGAACCAGACCACATGGGAGAAAACCTTCACTAGTGCACTGAGACTGTTCAGAAAGAGTGAGGTGGACTGTTTGACACAACTCACTGTTAAAAGATGTTGTGTGGATTTTAAAAGTTGTTCAAATGTTCTCAATAATATTCAAATGCATGCACTTCAGTTGTCAACTTGTATTTTTTTCCACAGCAAAAACACACACAAAGCTCCCTAAAGAACAAGGCACCACAGTCACTTAAATGTAATAATGTTATAAATATGTGGTAATTGAACAACAAGCTAAAGCCTACTGATTTCTAAAAGTGTGTGTATTGAGCCTTTAGTCTCATATAAGCTAGATAGAGCGTCGCTTTGAACCATAAACTATTACCAATGCTGACTGTACTCATTCAGGCCATTTTACCCTCAGAAAGAGGTTCCACAGGGGTCTATCCTTGGTCCATTCATGTTTACATTAGATGTTACATAACTTTTTCCAGTAGCCACACTTTCTCCTTCGACCTTTTCTCTGTTGGGGAGGTTTGTAAGGCTCTAAAGGGCCTAGACCCCAATAAATCAGCAGGCCCAGACGATCTCCCCCCTTGTTTCTTACGTCTAGCTGCAGATATTATAGCCCAACCAGTGTGTCATGTTTTTAATCTTTCTATAACAAACAATGTCATTCCAGATGTTTGGAAAACTGCAAATGTTCTCCCCTTATTGAAAGGTGGTGATTCCATGCTGATGAATAATTACAGACCAATTTCCAAGCTCTCTATTTTAGCTAAAGTACTTGAAAGGCTGGTGAATGATCAAATCAAAGAATATTTAAGCTTGAACAACATTCTATCTCCTCACCAGTCAGGCTTTAGGAAGCAGCACAGTACAGTAACAGCTGCTTTGAAAGTAGTGAATGACATTGTTGAAGGCTTGGACGCAAAGAGCTACTGTGCTGCCCTTTTTATAGTCTTATCCAAGGCATTTGATACTGTGGACCATGGCATTCTATGCCAGAAGTTATCCCATATAGGCCTGTCTGACCTAGCTGTTGGTTGGTTTTCAAACTATCTTTCAAATTGCAAGCAATGTGTACAATTCAGCGGTCTCTCCTCAAGCTTTCTTAATGTGCCCAGAGGTGTTCCTCAAGGTTCGGTCTTGGGACCCACCCTGTTTACAATTTATATAAATGATGTGCATCAAAATATTGATGCCTCTGTACATCTATATGCAGATGATACTGATCTATACTGTTGTGCTAGCACTGCTGCCCTTGCATTTGAACGTCTGCAGTCTGCTTTTGACACTTTTCAGTCACACCTTTTCCACCTCAGGTTGGTGTTGAATTCAGACAAGACAAAAGTCATGTTGTTTTCCAAGAAGAAAAAGTTACCAACTGTTCTTCCCTGCATCATGTCTGCCCAGCATAACCCCATTGAAGCTGTTCACACCTACAGAAACTTGACTATTGACTATCTATGACTACTAAGATTGACTATCTTTTAAGGAAACTGATATTAAAACTGGGATTCTTTTTTAGAAACAAGGCCTGCTTCTCCACAAGTGCTAGGAAACGGCTTGGAGCTGCCACATGTTTCCCGCTCTTGGACTACGGGGATGCTGTGTACATGAACGCCTCAGCTCACTCCCTTCATCTGCTGGACGCTGTTTACCATGGGGCTCTGAGGTTCATAACCAACTGTAAACCCCTCACACACCATTGCACACTGTACTCTTTAGTTAACTGGACATCACTATCAATGCGCAGATCTCTGCACTGGTACAAATTAATCTATACCGCTATGCTTGGACTGCTGCCCCTCTACATATCACACAAACAGTACAGCTATAGACTACGATCTCAAAATTACATCACTCTGTCCGTCCCCTCAGTATGCACGGAGCTTGGGAAAAAAGTGTTACCACTAATCAGGGGCCTCATTTATAACGCCTTGCGTAAGATTGACGTGGGAAGGTTGCTTACGTAGGACAAAGCTAAAAAAATAGGTCCAGACATTTTCCGCTATTTTCCGATTCACAAAACATTGCGTACCGGAGAGGGAAGTGCGTACGGCACTTCCTACGCCTGTTTCCCTTTATAAATCACAGTCGACTCGTAACGCCCATATTTGCCTATAAATAGTCAAATAAACGCCCATTCATTCATTCATTTTGACTGACTGCATGAAGAAGATCGCAGGAAAAAAGTTAATGACAAAAAAAATACACATAACCTTCCTCAGGCAGTGTGTTTGTCCCGAGGACAGGAGACACCCCCTTGATGAGAAACTGTAAGAAATGATCGGGGAATCCCTCCGGAGTGGAGTCATGACGACTGGATCTGAATTATTTTTGTTGTATTTGGTGGTTTGTGTTCCAGCTGTCGATCAGCAACTATATATCCATAATTCACCAGTTAAAGGAAATACAACTAATGTGTTGTGTTATATTAGCTGTACAATTTACCACATATGGTGTTCTTAGTTTCCATACCTCCTGTGTTTTACGAGCGACTTATCAAGTCTTGGCAAACGGCATAAAACACGATTAAACGTGATAGTATATAAAACCATGCTCGTATCTACAACCTATAGAAATGCAAAACGGCGTCAGTTTAGACGTTATTCTGTCCTCTGCTTACCGCATCATTTATGAGAAAACATTTCATAACATTAACACAACATATTCGAGGTGGTTTTAAATAACATATCCGTATTTATTTATTTCTCCAAGTTATATGTTTTTGTGTGCACTGAGGAGTCTCAAACAGGCGTTTGTTTAATCATTTTAAGATTGGCTTTAATCAATGTTTGAAAATAAATTCTTCATATTTGATAAATGAGGTAACATTTTATTTATGGTATTATTTCCACATATTTCTCCATTCTTCCTTCTGCCAACGGTGTCGCAGTTTCTCGTCTCTCCCGTTTGTGTGCTTAGTGCGTACCATGGGTTAGAGTTTGCGTGGAGGACCCTTCTTATTATACATCCATGGGAGGACTGCACATTTTCCCGTCAAGTTAGTATTTTGTAAATCGCAAACATTGCGTAGAAACTGGCGTACGCCATTTTTTGAGCGTATATCCCTTTATAAATGAGGCCCCAGAGCCCGACTGGTGCTGCGTCATTGCGTCATCGTTTTTGCGTCATGACGTAACCGTTTGCGTGCCTGCTTCATAGAGCCAAACCGCGCGGAAACCCCTCACATCGACAACAACAACAATGGCCGATTGTATTGAAGCGCTACTCGTTTTGGTTTTGCTCTGTCGAAACTAAATGGAACACATGGGACCCTTTACTACCAACTTTACAGTCGTTACATCAGGGATGCAAACTCATCAGGTATGAAAAAGGTGACAAGGATTCGAGCCCCCCGACCCCACGGAATATCGGCTTTAAAATGAGGAATAACAGGATTTTAGCAGTCGGAACAACTAAAGCAGTTAATAACAGAAACGCCAAAGAGTCACATCTAATAGAAATGTATAAAAGCATTTATTTGAATTGTGTAGCAGTCAGTTTATAATTTTGGCAGCACTGTTGAGCATTTTGAAAATGTATTTTCATGCCTCTGTGCAAGGCTTAGTCTTTCTATCTGTATAGCCAGTGGTGTAAAGTAACTAAGTTCATAAACTCAACAAGGACTATACTTGGGTACAATTTTGAGATACTTTATTTAAGTATTTCAATGTGTTGCTACTTTGTTCTTCTACTCCACTACAGTTCAGAGGTAAATGGTGTACTACTACATGTATTTAATACCTTTAGTTACTTTACAGATGTGGATGAATGATGTGAAATATAATCAAGTGTTAAATCAGACTTTAGTTCCACCTGGAGTAAATTCACAAGCTACCCTGCAGTATACAAAGTCATTCAAACTAGCTGCACCTTTACCAGCTTTGAGAACACTTTCATGATCAATCATTATAAAACATATCATATATATTATTCTGAAATGGACCAATCTGCACAATGACTACTTTTACTGTCGCTACTTGAACTATATTTTGATGAGAATACTTTTTGACTTTTACTTGAGGAACATTTTGAATGCAGGACTTCTACTTCTACTTTTACTCAAGTACAAGACCTGAGTACTTCTACTTTTACTCAAGTACAAGACATGAGTACTTCTACTTTTACTCAAGTACAAGACCTGAGTACTTCTACTTTTACTCAAGTACAAGACCTGAGTACTTCTACTTTTACTCAAGTACAAGATCTGAGTACTTCTACTTTTACTCAAGAACAAGACCTGAGTACTTCTACTTTTACTCTAGTACAAGATCTGAGTACTTCTACTTTTACTCAAGTACAAGATATATACTTATACCACCTCCGTTTATAGCCTATGAAAAAAACTATTTGAAAACGAAGGCTAAAGCTAACGTTAGCAGATAGTGACAATGTATGCTAGTTAGCTAGCTCAACGATAATATTGCGACAGGAAAACTTTTCAGTGCACATCACGCTCTGCCGCTCCGACAGGGAGCTCTGATTTGAACACCTGAACGGCCCGTTCTAACAGCTGTTCACCAGCGGTCCAGTCTGTGCCACACTGACTCCGGACCGCACAGTTAATATTAACAAACGCACCCGTAGGTAATGTAGCTGCTGAAGCTAGACCCTCATCCCGGAGCAGCAGAGCCTTATTATACATCCATGAGCAGAGCCGACAGGCAGGAAGACTCTAGCACACAGCTCGCGCTTCATTATAATATATAAAAAAAGAACACCATGCGTGTCATGATGGCACATAACAGCTCGCGGCCGCAGATTACTCCGGGTCCCAGACCTATTTTGGATTCAAAACGGCGAATTTCGCCGAAAGGTGACAAGTTTGCATCCCTGTACATGCTACATTCATGACTTCTTTACAATCATCAACTTCAACGACGATTCGGTAGGAGAAAGAAGGTAAATACGTCCTATTAGAGCTAGCTGTTGTTCGCCTCTGCATGCGCCAAGCTCAAAATACCCAGCTTTGCAGCATTAATTACTATGGTATAACATTAAAAACTGTTGCCCCTGCCCCCGCCTCCGACATAAGCGTGACGTATGCGGTGCTTGCTTTCTAGACCGACAACTTTTTGGTGCTTGAAAAGAACCGGATTCCGGAGCTTATGCCCCTTTCACACCAACGCGTTTTCAGGGCAGGTGTTATGCCGTAGGTTGAAGCCTTGCCGTAGATTGAAGCCCTGTTCGCGGGGACGCGCACAGGTGACGTCATCGGCTGTATTGAGCTTCGCCTAGTTTTCAAAATGTTTTCTCTCTTTTGAATGATATATTTCACATCAGATTAAACAGCAAACGGCTGAATAAATAATGTGCATACAATTGCAAGGTTGCTCGTTTTAAGGAAAGACAATGAAAGGATAAGATGTCATTTGTCAGTATAGTCCTATTTCTTAAAACCTTCGCTGTTGTTTAAGTGTCTGATAACCACGAATAGTAAGCAATGATATAACAGTAATGATATAACATATATGATAATGTAAGACACTGTGTTATTTTCAATCAAGCCTAAAAGATAATTTGTTCAAACTAGCTCCACTCGCTTTAATTGCTCCTTTGAATGTAATTGTCCTCTGTGGTTTCCTACTCAACACATTTTTGTATTGTAATGCCACTCATATTTTATTTTTTATTTTATTTTAAGGTGACATTGAATGTTTTGAAAGGTGCCCTGAAATAAAGTTTATTATTGATCTTATATCTGTGCCTATATCACGCTATTAATGTTCCTTATTTTAGACTGGGTTAATCCTGGTGTCAATAGGGAAGATCTGCACTGTTCTCTACATAACATGTTCAGCAGAGCAGGTTTTTCTCCTGCCAGATATGGCACCCCCCCTACAACTTTGTCCAGGAAGGTCACACCGTCACCAAAATCACACTGGTGTTGCCTGTTCCCCTCTAGTGTGTGCTCACAAAAGCATTTTACTCTGGGCCCAACAGGTAAAAAACGAAAGAGGGGCTTCCATATCCGGCAGAGAAGATGTTGTAGCTGCCGGATTTGGAAGCCCCCCTATATCTTTGTCCAGGATGGTCATAGACTCATCCAAAATCACACTGGTGTTGCCTGTTCCCCTCTAGTTTGTGCTCGCAAAAGCATATTACTCTGGGCCCAGCAGGTAAAAAACGAAAGAGGGGCTTCCATATCCGGCAGACCAGGTGTTGGAGCTGCCGGATTTGGAAGCCCCCCTATATCTTTGTCCAGGATAGTCACAATTTCACCAAAATCACACTGGTGTTGCCTGTTCCTCTCTAGTTTATGCTCACCAAAGCATTTTACTCTGGGCCCAGCAGGTACAAAACTAAAGAGGGGCTTCCATATCCGGCAGAGAAGGTGTTGTGGCTGGCTGCCGGATATGGAAGCCCCCCTATAATTTTTCACCTGCTGGGCCCAGAGTAACATGCTTTTGTGAGCACAAAGTAGAGGGAAACAGCAAACACCAGTGTGATTTTGGTGAGTCTATGACTATCCTGGACAAAGATATAGGGGGGCTTCCAAATCCGGCAGCTACAACACCTGGCCTGCCGGATATGGAAGCCCCTCTTAAGTTTTTCACCTGCTTGGCCCAGAGTAAAATGCTTTGGTGAGCATAATCTAGAGGGGAACAGGCAACACCAGTATGATTTTGGTGAAGTTGTGACTATCCTGGACAAAGTTGTAGGGGGGGTGCCATATCTGGCAGCACCTTCTCTGCCGGATTTGGAAGCCCCTCTTTAGTTTTTCACCTGCTGGGCCCAGAGTAAAATGCTTTGGTGAGCACAAACTAGAGGGGAACAGGCAACACCAGTGTGATTTTCTTGAGTGTATGACTATCCTGGACAAAATGAAAGGGGGGGGTTCCAAATCTGACAGGAGAAATACCTGCTCTGCTGAACATGTTACGTAGAGAACAGTGCAGATCTTCCCTATTGACACCAGGATTAACCCAGTCTAAAATAAGGAACATTAATAGTGTGATATAGGCACAGATATAAGATCAATAATACACTTTATTTTAGGGCACCTTTCAAAGCATTCAATGTCACCTTAAAATACAATAACAAATAAAATATGAGTGGCATTACAATACAAACATGTGTTGAGTAGGAAACCACAGAGGACAATTACATTCAAAGGAGCAATTAAAGCGAGTGGAGCTAGTTTGAACAAATTATCTTTTAGGATTGATTGAAAATAACACAGTGTCTGACATGTTATATCATTAAGCAATAGCTCACGACAGGCCGTGGTATATGCTCATTATATCACAGCTAAGGGGCGTGGTTCGGCCCGACGCAAAATGCTGTTGTGTTTTCTGAAATGCTGTGGTGTTTTCTGAAATGCTGTGGTGTTTTCTGAAATGCTGTGGTGTCTTGCACTTCCGGGCCACCGTAGAAAACAATGAAATTCTGTTTAGAGTTTAGCAGTCTAGAGCCCTGTTGATTTAAGTTTTCAGAATTGTTTACATGGTTGCATTTGAGTTTAAACAATGAAGAATTAAAAAAGCGTTCGTTACACTGAGTGAATCATATTGGTTGCTAGGAAACATCTGGCAAAATCAATCAAAGATGTAAACAGGAAGTCACCTGTAGCAAATAGTGAGTGCTAAAGCTACAGTAGCATATACAAGGAGATGGTAACATCTGATCATTCACATTTACTCTGAGGTGGGAGAAGTACTCGGATCTTGTACTTGAGTAAAAGGAGAAGTACTCAGAAAAGTAGAAAAGTATTATCATCAAAATATATTTAAAGTAGCGACAGTAAAAGTAGTCATTGTGCAGATTGGTCCATTTCAGAATAATATATATGATATGTTTTATAATGATTGATCATTAAAGTGTTCTCAAAGCTGGTAAAGGTGCAGCTAGTTTGAATGACTTTGTATACTGCAGGGTAGCTTGTGAATTTACTCCAGGTGGAACTAAAGTCTGATTTAACACTTGATTATATTTCACATCATTCATCCACATCTGTAAAGTAACTAAAGGTATTAAATACATGTAGTGGAGTAAAAGTTCACCATTTACCTCTGAACTGAAGTGGACTAGAAATACAAAGTAGCATAAAATGGAGATACTCAAGTAAAGTACAATTACCTCAAAATTGTACTTAAGTACAGTACCTGAGTAAATGTACTTCCTACCTCTGAATTTAACTAATTTATAAAACAATGAAACGAGTTTGTGTGCTTCAACCCTTTTAGTGTCTGTGAGAGCCAACCCCTTTGTATTTATTTAAAAACAAATCAGTCCGACTCAATCAACCAATCAGTGCGTCTTTGTTATTTTGTTGTATCAAGTTAATAGGTATTTATACTTCTTCCTTTATTCAGCGGTATTTTAGGCCACGACGATTAGGGATGCCAGAAACTGACCATGATCAAATTCGAAAATCGGACAGCCCTGGCGAATATTAATCGATTATTCGATTATTTTGGTTGAAACTAAGCCAGGAAAAAAAAGAAAAACATAAATAATAATAAAAATATATATAAATAAAATCGAATTTTAAAAATAATTTTCGATTATGGAGACTGTAACGAATATTCGAAAAATCGAATAATCGCTGGCATCCCTAACGACGAGTCAGAATGCATTCTCGGGTTTCATTAAAAACCTTACTTTACTTCTGTCACGTCCATTTTTAACTTGCATCAAGACATTCATATGTGTCCTCTAATACACTTGTGTCACTTTCTCTGTTGATTTATTGTTTTGTTTTATAGGAAGAGACCTGCAAAGACCCAGATAGACTTTATGATGATGGGGAGAAGAGTATCATCGGAGAACAGCTGGATCAACATCAGTCTACATCCACGATAGGAAAACCACACACCTGTGACCAGTGTGAGAAGAGTTTCTGGAGTTCAGGGATATTGAAGCACCACAAACGTACCCACACTAGAGAAAAACCTTTCACCTGTGACCAGTGTGAGAAGAGCTTTAGCAGGTCAGGCGATTTGAAGATTCACCAGCGAACCCACACTGGAGAAAAACCCTACTCCTGTGACCAGTGTGAGAAGAGCTTTAGCAGGTCAGGCTATTTGAAGATTCACCTGCGAACCCACACTGGAGAAAAACCTTTCACCTGTGACCAGTGTGAGAAGAGTTTCTGCAGATCAGGGATATTGAAGAGCCACAAACGTACCCACACTAGAGAAAAACCTTTCACCTGTGACCAGTGTGAGAAGAGCTTTAGCCAGTCAGGCTATTTGACGATTCACAAGCGAACCCACACTGGAGAAAAACCTTTCACCTGTGACCTCTGTGAGAAAAGTTTCACGGACTCATGCTCATTGAAGAGCCACCAGCGAACCCACACTGGAGAAAAACCCTACTCCTGTGACCTCTGTGAGAAGAGCTTTAGCCAGTCAAGCTATTTGACGATTCACAAGCGAACCCACACTGGAGAAAAACCTTTCACCTGTGACCAGTGTGAGAAGAGCTTTAACCGGTCAGACTCATTGAAGGTCCACCAGCGAACCCACACTGGAGAAAAACCCTGCTCCTGTGACCAGTGTGAGAAAAGTTTCACGGACTCATGCTCATTGAAGCGCCACCAGCGAACCCACACTGGAGAAAAACCCTACTCCTGTGACCAGTGTGAGAAAAGTTTCGCAGACTCACGCTCATTGAAGAGCCACCAGCGAACCCACTCCTTTGACCAGTGGGAGAAAGAGTTCAGTGACTCATACAGTGTGAAGCTCCACCAGCCTACCCACACTGGAGAAAAACCTGACGTCTGTGCTCACTCTTGCCCCTTTCACACCAACGCAACTCCGGTTCAAGCTCCGTGCTAGAGCTTTTCTGGTTCAGAACCGGTTCTTCGGTTTAGCGCCGGCTCTTTTCACACCGCTCAGAGCCCGACTGGTGCTGCCGCTGCTGCGTCATGACGTCACAGTTTACGTCGCTGAGTTTCTCCCCAACGCCGGAGCTCACTTCACAACAACAACGGGCCGGGGACTGCGTTGCTTTTAATCATACGAAGCCAGATTAAATTAAATAACGACTTCTCCAACCTTATACTTTTCTCCAGAGTGCCGTGGTTCATTGTTTATTAATGTGTTTCAGCGGCATTTACCGACCGCTGCAGTGCTGGCCGGCTGCTCTTCAACGGGAGTGTATTCTCCCGTTAGCTCCGGGTTAGCTCACACGGCTCTAAAGTATTCACTGTCTGACTGTCACACAAGCAGCTGATACATATCCCCAGTTCCCCTTAAGTGAATGTGTGTCAGTCTGAATTGACGCTGTTTGGTGTCAGTCTGAATTGACGCTGTTTGGCATCACAACGCTGTTATGAAAGTTTCTCTGGTATAACATGGGTGATGTTAGCATAGCAACCGAAGCTAAACTGACTACTTGCTAAGCAGTTTTCTACAGGCACTTTTTACCGACGTATTTTTCATTATGATTCTACTTGTGATAGTCGGACATGACAACCTGTGCAGCCCATGTATTGATTCCATCCGATAGCTGCTATAATAACAAACGTCTGCCTGCTCTCCACAATGATCAATAACAGCGAACGGATGGTCAAAGTAAGGTACAAATAAACAGAATCACACGAAGCCTGGTTAGTGTTGCCTGACTTTATAAAGTGTGTTTTTTTTAACAAGTGTGTGGTTGCGTTCTAGTCACTTTGCTCAGCACTACTGCTTGTTACAACTTTTATTTGCCGTACTCGCCTTAAGTGTTAGCTCAGGTTAATCTCGCCCCCCTCCGACGTAAGCGTGACGTATGCGGTTCTTGCTTCTAGACGGACAACTTTTTGGTGCTCGAAACGAACCGGATTCCGGAGCTATGACGCTGCTCCGCTGCGGTGTGAACAGGAAAACCCGGTGCTTTTCAAGCACCAGCACCGAACCGGCCCTGAAACACCGTTGGTGTGAAAGGGGTATCTGAGAAGAGTTTCAGAGAACCAGACCACATGGGAGAAAACCTTCACTAGTGCACTGAGACTGTTCAGAAAGAGTGAGGTGGACTGTTTGACACAACTCACTGTTAAAAGATGTTGTGTGGATTTTAAAAGTTGTTCAAATGTTCTCAATAATATTCAAATGCATGCACTTCAGTTGTCAACTTGTATTTTTTTCCACAGCAAAAACACACACAAAGCTCCCTAAAGAACAAGGCACCACAGTCACTTAAATGTAATAATGTTATAAATATGTGGTAATTGAACAACAAGCTAAAGCCTACTGATTTCTAAAAGTGTGTGTTTTGAGCCTTTAGTCTCATATAAGCTAGATAGAGCGTCGCTTTGAACCATAAACTATTACCAATGCTGACTGTACTCATTCAGGCCATTTTACCCTCAGAAAGAGGTTCCACAGGGGTCTATCCTTGGTCCATTCATGTTTACATTAGATGTTACATAACTTTTTCCAGTAGCCACACTTTCTCCTTCGACCTTTTCTCTGTTGGGGAGGTTTGTAAGGCTCTAAAGGGCCTAGACCCCAATAAATCAGCAGGCCCAGACGATCTCCCCCCTTGTTTCTTACGTCTAGCTGCAGATATTATAGCCCAACCAGTGTGTCATGTTTTTAATCTTTCTATAACAAACAATGTCATTCCAGATGTTTGGAAAACTGCAAATGTTCTCCCCTTATTGAAAGGTGGTGATTCCATGCTGATGAATAATTACAGACCAATTTCCAAGCTCTCTATTTTAGCTAAAGTACTTGAAAGGCTGGTGAATGATCAAATCAAAGAATATTTAAGCTTGAACAACATTCTATCTCCTCACCAGTCAGGCTTTAGGAAGCAGCACAGTACAGTAACAGCTGCTTTGAAAGTAGTGAATGACATTGTTGAAGGCTTGGACGCAAAGAGCTACTGTGCTGCCCTTTTTATAGTCTTATCCAAGGCATTTGATACTGTGGACCATGGCATTTTATGCCAGAAGTTATCCCATATAGGCCTGTCTGACCTAGCTGTTGGTTGGTTTTCAAACTATCTTTCAAATTGCAAGCAATGTGTACAATTCAGCGGTCTCTCCTCAAGCTTTCTTAATGTGCCCAGAGGTGTTCCTCAAGGTTCGGTCTTGGGACCCACCCTGTTTACAATTTATATAAATGATGTGCATCAAAATATTGATGCCTCTGTACATATATATGCAGATGATACTGATCTATACTGTTGTGCTAGCACTGCCGCCCTTGCATTTGAACGTCTGCAGTCTGCTTTTGACACTTTACAGTCACACCTTTTCCACCTCAGGTTGGTGTTGAATTCAGACAAGACAAAAGTCATGTTGTTTTCCAAGAAGAAAAAGTTACCAACTGTTCTTCCCTGCATCATGTCTGCCCAGCATAACCCCATTGAAGCTTTTCACACCTACAGAAACTTGACTATTGACTATCTATGACTACTAAGATTGACTATCTTTTAAGGAAACTGATATTAAAACTGGGATTCTTTTTTAGAAACAAGGCCTGCTTCTCCACAAGTGCTAGGAAACGGCTTGGAGCTGCCACATGTTTCCCGCTCTTGGACTACGGGGATGTTGTGTACATGAACGCCTCAGCTCACTCCCTTCATCTGCTGGACGCTGTTTACCATGGGGCTCTGAGGTTCATAACCAACTGTAAACCCCTCACACACCATTGCACACTGTACTCTTTAGTTAACTGGACATCACTATCAATGCGCAGATCTCTGCACTGGTACAAATTAATCTATACCGCTATGCTTGGACTGCTGCCCCTCTACATATCACACAAACAGTACAGCTATAGACTACGATCTCAAAATTACATCACTCTGTCCGTCCCCTCAGTATGCACGGAGCTTGGGAAAAAAGTGTTACCACTGATCAGGGGCCTCATTTATAACGCCTTGCGTAAGATTGACGTGGGAAGGTTGCTTACGTAGGACCAGTGGCGTTTTTATATGTACAAAAGTGGTGGGGCACAAAAAACTTAGATGTCTATATATAAGCTTCTGCAGTGACGTGCAGTGAGGTTCATGGCTGGTGAGGCACTGGCACTGACTCTTCAGGTTTACAAATATTATATTTTGACCTAAACCAAAATATAATATTATTTTCAAAAGCTTTTTTTGTCTGATGCTTCGATTAATTTTAAACAGACAGTTCAACAAAAGGATACCCAAAAAATGTCATTTTATCATTTAAATATTGAATTGTTCTCTCTTAGTAAGATCCCATTTTCAATAAAATGGCGGTCTTACCTTGACTTGAAGATGAAGTCCATTTGCCTATCCTTCTGGACAAACATTTCTATTACTTTTTTGTAAAAGTCCTCCTTATGTTCTTGTAGTTTCAAAAGTCTATCATAAATCTAATCCATAGATTTATGATAAAAAAATTATATAAGTAGGGTAGACATGTGGATGTTATCCGGCTAATCAAAACGTGCATTTATCTAACAGGTACGTTTCCCACAGATCTTATTTCGAGCTATTTTCTAAAATCCTCTGGAGAAATCTCATTGCTTTTTTGTGCTTACTTCCTGGTTTTAGGACGCGCCCCTGCAGCTCTCTCGTCTCCTCTTCACACAGCACACTTTTCGCGGCACACGTACTTACAGCCAATCAGCTCTGAATGATTTGAGATGACGTATGGCGGGGATGGTAGCTCCATGCCCCTCTGGTCATTATTTTTTTGCCACACACATTTCATTACAAAATACTCTGAGCATGCGCAGTGAAGTTTTTACAGTCACCGTTGACTTCACAGCGAGAGGAAGCGGCATAATCAGGTTTTGTCCCACATGGCTCTAAACAGCTCAATAGGCACACACTGTGACTGTAGACACACTAATTAGAAGAACACAGACTAAAACAGCAATGTACAGACGAATCAGATGATTAAACATGATCTTAAAATATATTTTATATATTTTTTTATTTATTTTTTTGCATTTTTGTAATCATTATTTGTAATACTTTCTGCTGACACTAGTCAGCTAATGACCAGTCGCCACTGCGTAGGACAAAGCAAAAAAAATAGGTCCAGACATTTTCCGCTATTTTCCGATTCACAAAACATTGCGTACCGGAGAGGGAAGTGCGTACGGCACTTCCTACGCCTGTTTCCCTTTATAAATCACAGTCGACTCGTAACGCCCATATTTGCCTATAAATAGTCAAATAAACGCCCATTCATTCATTCATTTTGACTGACTGCATGAAGAAGATCGCAGGAAAAAAGTTAATGACAAAAAAAATACACATAACCTTCCTCAGGCAGTGTGTTTGTCCCGAGGACAGCAGACACCCCCTTGATGAGAAACTGTAAGAAATGATCGGGGAATCCCTCCGGAGTGGAGTCATGACGACTGGATCTGAATTATTTTTGTTGTATTTGGTGGTTTGTGTTCCAGCTGTCGATCAGCAACTATATATCCATAATTCACCAGTTAAAGGAAATACAACTAATGTGTTGTGTTATATTAGCTGTACAATTTACCACATATGGTGTTCTTAGTTTCCATACCTCCTGTGTTTTACGAGCGACTTATCAAGTCTTGGCAAACGGCATAAAACACGATTAAACGTATATAAAACCATGCTCGTATCTACAACCTATAGAAATGCAAAACGGCGTCAGTTTAGACGTTATTCTGTCCTCCTGCTTACCGCATCATTTATGAGAAAACATTTCATAACATTAACACAACATATTCGAGGTGGTTTTAAATAACATATCCGTATTTATTTATTTCTCCAAGTTATATGTTTTTGTGTGCACTGAGGAGTCTCAAACAGGCGTTTGTTTAATCATTTTAAGATTGGCTTTAATCAATGTTTGAAAATAAATTCTTCATATTTGATAAATAAGAGGTAACATTTTATTTATGGTATTATTTCCACATATTTCTCCATTCTTCCTTCTGCCAACGGTGTCGCAGTTTCTCGTCTCTCCCGTTTGTGTGCTTAGTGCGTACTCATGGGTTAGAGTTTGCGTGGAGGACCCTTCTTATTATACATCCATGGGAGGACTGCACATTTTCCCGTCAAGTTAGTATTTTGTAAATCGCAAACATTGCGTAGAAACTGGCGTACGCCATTTTTTGAGCGTATATCCCTTTATAAATGAGGCCCCAGAGCCCGACTGGTGCTGCGTCATTGCGTCTTCGTTTTGCGTCATGACGTAACCGTTTGCGTGCCTGCTTCATAGAGCCAAACCGCGCGGAAACCCCTCACATCGACAACAACAACAATGGCCGATTGTATTGAAGCGCTACTCGTTTTGGTTTTGCTCTGTCGAAACTAAATGGAACACATGGGACCCTTTACTACCAACTTTACAGTCGTTACATCAGGGATGCAAACTCATCAGGTATGAAAAAGGTGACAAGGATCCGAGCCCCCCGACCCCACGGAATATCGGCTTTAAAATGAGGAATAACAGGATTTTAGCAGTCGGAACAACTAAAGCAGTTAATAACAGAAACGCCAAAGAGTCACATCTAATAGAAATGTATAAAAGCATTTATTTGAATTGTGTAGCAGTCAGTTTATAATTTTGGCAGCACTGTTGAGCATTTTGAAAATGTATTTTCATGCCTCTGTGCAAGGCTTAGTCTTTCTATCTGTATAGCCAGTGGTGTAAAGTAACTAAGTTCATAAACTCAACAAGGACTATACTTGGGTACAATTTTGAGATACTTTATTTAAGTATTTCAATGTGTTGCTACTTTGTTCTTCTACTCCACTACAGTTCAGAGGTAAATGGTGTACTACTACATGTATTTAATACCTTTAGTTACTTTACAGATGTGGATGAATGATGTGAAATATAATCAAGTGTTAAATCAGACTTTAGTTCCACCTGGAGTAAATTCACAAGCTACCCTGCAGTATACAAAGTCATTCAAACTAGCTGCACCTTTACCAGCTTTGAGAACACTTTCATGATCAATCATTATAAAACATATCATATATATTATTCTGAAATGGACCAATCTGCACAATGACTACTTTTACTGTCGCTACTTGAACTATATTTTGATGAGAATACTTTTTGACTTTTACTTGAGGAACATTTTGAATGCAGGACTTCTACTTCTACTTTTACTCAAGTACAAGACCTGAGTACTTCTACTTTTACTCAAGTACAAGACATGAGTACTTCTACTTTTACTCAAGTACAAGACCTGAGTACTTCTACTTTTACTCAAGTACAAGACCTGAGTACTTCTACTTTTACTCAAGTACAAGACATGAGTACTTCTACTTTTACTCAAGTACAAGACCTGAGTACTTCTACTTTTACTCAAGTACAAGATCTGAGTACTTTTACTCAAGAACAAGACCTGAGTACTTCTACTTTTACTCTAGTACAAGATCTGAGTACTTCTACTTTTACTCAAGTACAAGATATATACTTATACCACCTCCGTTTATAGCCTATGAAAAAAACTATTTGAAAACGAAGGCTAAAGCTAACGTTAGCAGATAGTGACAATGTATGCTAGTTAGCTAGCTCAACGATAATATTGCGACAGGAAAACTTTTCAGTGCACATCACGCTCTGCCGCTCCGACAGGGAGCTCTGATTTGAACACCTGAACGGCCCGTTCTAACAGCTGTTCACCAGCGGTCCAGTCTGTGCCACAGTGACTCCGGACCGCACAGTTAATATTAACAAACGCACCCGTAGGTAATGTAGCTGCTGAAGCTAGACCCTCATCCCGGAGCAGCAGAGCCTTATTATACATCCATGAGCAGAGCCGACAGGCAGGAAGACTCTAGCACACAGCTCGCGCTTCATTATAATATATAAAAAAAGAACACCATGCGTGTCATGATGGCACATAACAGCTCGCGGCCGCAGATTACTCCGGGTCCCAGACCTATTTTGGATTCAAAACGGCGAATTTCGCCGAAAGGTGACAAGTTTGCATCCCTGTACATGCTACATTCATGACTTCTTTACAATCATCAACTTCAACGACGATTCGGTAGGAGAAAGAAGGTAAATACGTCCTATTAGAGCTAGCTGTTGTTCGCCTCTGCATGCGCCAAGCTCAAAATACCCAGCTTTGCAGCATTAATTACTATGGTATAACATTAAAAACTGTTGCCCCTGCCCCCGCCTCCGACATAAGCGTGACGTATGCGGTGCTTGCTTTCTAGACCGACAACTTTTTGGTGCTTGAAAAGAACCGGATTCCGGAGCTTATGCCCCTTTCACACCAACGCGTTTTCAGGGCAGGTGTTATGCCGTAGGTTGAAGCCTTGCCGTAGATTGAAGCCCTGTTCGCGGGGACGCGCACAGGTGACGTCATCGGCTGTATTGAGCTTCGCCTAGTTTTCAAAATGTTTTCTCTCTTTTGAATGATATATTTCACATCAGATTAAACAGCAAACGGCTGAATAAATAATGTGCATACAATTGCAAGGTTGCTCGTTTTAAGGAAAGACAATGAAAGGATAAGATGTCATTTGTCAGTATAGTCCTATTTCTTAAAACCTTCGCTGTTGTTTAAGTGTCTGATAACCACGAATAGTAAGCAATGATATAACAGTAATGATATAACATATATGATAATGTAAGACACTGTGTTATTTTCAATCAAGCCTAAAAGATAATTTGTTCAAACTAGCTCCACTCGCTTTAATTGCTCCTTTGAATGTAATTGTCCTCTGTGGTTTCCTACTCAACACATTTTTGTATTGTAATGCCACTCATATTTTATTTTTTATTTTATTTTAAGGTGACATTGAATGTTTTGAAAGGTGCCCTGAAATAAAGTTTATTATTGATCTTATATCTGTGCCTATATCACGCTATTAATGTTCCTTATTTTAGACTGGGTTAATCCTGGTGTCAATAGGGAAGATCTGCACTGTTCTCTACATAACATGTTCAGCAGAGCAGGTTTTTCTCCTGCCAGATATGGCACCCCCCCTACAACTTTGTCCAGGAAGGTCACACCGTCACCAAAATCACACTGGTGTTGCCTGTTCCCCTCTAGTGTGTGCTCACAAAAGCATTTTACTCTGGGCCCAACAGGTAAAAAACGAAAGAGGGGCTTCCATATCCGGCAGAGAAGATGTTGTAGCTGCCGGATTTGGAAGCCCCCCTATATCTTTGTCCAGGATGGTCATAGACTCACCAAAATCACACTGGTGTTGCCTGTTCCCCTCTAGTTTGTGCTCGCAAAAGCATATTACTCTGGGCCCAGCAGGTAAAAAACGAAAGAGGGGCTTCCATATCCGGCAGACCAGGTGTTGGAGCTGCCGGATTTGGAAGCCCCCCTATATCTTTGTCCAGGATAGTCACAATTTCACCAAAATCACACTGGTGTTGCCTGTTCCTCTCTAGTTTATGCTCACCAAAGCATTTTACTCTGGGCCCAGCAGGTACAAAACTAAAGAGGGGCTTCCATATCCGGCAGAGAAGGTGTTGTGGCTGGCTGCCGGATATGGAAGCCCCCCTATAATTTTTCACCTGCTGGGCCCAGAGTAACATGCTTTTGTGAGCACAAAGTAGAGGGAAACAGCAAACACCAGTGTGATTTTGGTGAGTCTATGACTATCCTGGACAAAGATATAGGGGGGCTTCCAAATCCGGCAGCTACAACACCTGGCCTGCCGGATATGGAAGCCCCTCTTAAGTTTTTCACCTGCTTGGCCCAGAGTAAAATGCTTTGGTGAGCATAATCTAGAGGGGAACAGGCAACACCAGTATGATTTTGGTGAAGTTGTGACTATCCTGGACAAAGTTGTAGGGGGGGTGCCATATCTGGCAGCACCTTCTCTGCCGGATTTGGAAGCCCCTCTTTAGTTTTTCACCTGCTGGGCCCAGAGTAAAATGCTTTGGTGAGCACAAACTAGAGGGGAACAGGCAACACCAGTGTGATTTTCTTGAGTGTATGACTATCCTGGACAAAATGAAAGGGGGGGGGTTCCAAATCTGACAGGAGAAATACCTGCTCTGCTGAACATGTTACGTAGAGAACAGTGCAGATCTTCCCTATTGACACCAGGATTAACCCAGTCTAAAATAAGGAACATTAATAGTGTGATATAGGCACAGATATAAGATCAATAATACACTTTATTTTAGGGCACCTTTCAAAGCATTCAATGTCACCTTAAAATACAATAACAAATAAAATATGAGTGGCATTACAATACAAACATGTGTTGAGTAGGAAACCACAGAGGACAATTACATTCAAAGGAGCAATTAAAGCGAGTGGAGCTAGTTTGAACAAATTATCTTTTAGGATTGATTGAAAATAACACAGTGTCTGACATGTTATATCATTAAGCAATAGCTCACGACAGGCCGTGGTATATGCTCATTATATCACAGCTAAGGGGCGTGGTTCGGCCCGACGCAAAATGCTGTTGTGTTTTCTGAAATGCTGTGGTGTTTTCTGAAATGCTGTGGTGTTTTCTGAAATGCTGTGGTGTTTTCTGAAATGCTGTGGTGTCTTGCACTTCCGGGCCACCGTAGAAAACAATGAAATTCTGTTTAGAGTTTAGCAGTCTAGAGCCCTGTTGATTTAAGTTTTCAGAATTGTTTACATGGTTGCATTTGAGTTTAAACAATGAAGAATTAAAAAAGCGTTCGTTACACTGAGTGAATCATATTGGTTGCTAGGAAACATCTGGCAAAATCAATCAAAGATGTAAACAGGAAGTCACCTGTAGCAAATAGTGAGTGCTAAAGCTACAGTAGCATATACAAGGAGATGGTAACATCTGATCATTCACATTTACTCTGAGGTGGGAGAAGTACTCAGATCTTGTACTTGAGTAAAAGGAGAAGTACTCAGAAAAGTAGAAAAGTATTATCATCAAAAATATATTTAAAGTAGCGACAGTAAAAGTAGTGATTGTGCAGATTGGTCCATTTCAGAATAATATATATGATATGTTTTATAATGATTGATCATGAAAGTGTTCTCAAAGCTGGTAAAGGTGCAGCTAGTTTGAATGACTTTGTATACTGCAGGGTAGCTTGTGAATTCACTCCAGGTGGAACTAAAGTCTGATTCAACACTTGATTATATTTCACATCATTCATCCACATCTGTAAAGTAACTAAAGGTATTAAATACATGTAGTGGAGTAAAAGTTCACCATTTACCTCTGAACTGAAGTGGACTAGAAATACAAAGTAGCATAAAATGGAGATACTCAAGTAAAGTACAATTACCTCAAAATTGTACTTAAGTACAGTACCTGAGTAAATGTACTTCCTACCTCTGAATTTAACTAATTTATAAAACAATGAAACGAGTTTGTGTGCTTCAACCCTTTTAGTGTCTGTGAGAGCCAACCCCTTTGTATTTATTTAAAAAACAAATCAGTCCGACTCAA